CCCCCCCCCCCCCCCCCACGCGGGACCCAGCTGCTGGGCAGGAAGGGAGGAGTGCATTGGCAGTTCCCCCCTCACCACCCGGCAGAAGGGGACCTCGGCAGGCCTGGATCCCTGTTTCAAAGGCCCCGATTAAGGATGGTACTTAAGCTGAGCATTGCTCCTGATGTCAGTGGGACCAGGCTGCGGGACCCTCCTGAATCGGGCCGCAAGTGACTGACCTCTCCCCTGCTATGTGTACCTCTCATGGTAACGCCTTGTGGAGTGCTGGGTGGCCTTGGAGATAACCTGCCTCTCTGCTATTCCAGCACGTATGCGCCTGTGAAGCCCTTCCTTCGCGTGGACAAGGAGAAGGTAAGGCTGGCTCCAGGCTCCCTTTCCTAGGCCAGCCCTGACTGTAGGGGGGCTACAGAACACCCTGCTCAGCATCCGCTGGCTAGAGAAACCCCCACTCCTGTCCACTCTGGAACATTTCCTTTAACTCTGCCTTGGCACTTCAGCACTGAGAGCGTGGGCAACCGTTCCAGCCCTGGCTGGAAAATGAATGTCTTTGTCCAACAGCTTCATCCCTAGCGCAGACAAGGCTGCGGGGGCTCTGGGGTAGCTAGAAGCCAGTGAACGTTGCTGTATCTTCCCGACGAGGGGTACCGTGAACTTCTCAGACTCTTCACTTCTTGTGGTTCGGGGGTTGCCGTCTTCCAAAGGTCGCACCATGTTCTGCTGGTCCCACAGCTGATCTTGCATTCAGTTGTGTCCCCATGAGGGGGGTGGCCTGGAGCTGGTCGGTACTGGGAGAGTGCACCAGATTCCTGCACAACCAAGCAACGTGGGACTGACTTTGCAATGCCCAAATTAGAAGAATGTTTCTGACCATTAGAGGAGGGAGGTTCTAGACCAACCTACACTCCTGAGCTACTTGTGATTGTACCTCTCCCCTCCCTGTGTTTAGTTTTGGGGAGCATTTACACAGCCTGACCTCTGGACCTCGGCTTTCTTCCAGGTGCAGATCTACAACCCAGCCTTCTTCAAATACATTCACGACAGGTGGACCGAGCACCACGGGCGATACCCCTCCACGGGGATGCTAGTGCTGTTCTTCGCGCTTCATGTTTGCGATGAGGTGGGTTCAGGAATGGTTGGTAAGGCCGCCAGGGCAGAGCCAGAGATCTGGGGTTCCATGGGACGTGCCCTCCCCTGCACTCGCCTCCTCACCACGCTGGCAAGAGACGCACTGGCCAGTAACACTCAGTCCTAGCCAGCTTCATGCAGCTGGTACCATGCCTAGCATTCCTGCACGGGAGCACAGCATTGCCGAAGTCTGCCCACGGTTGCCAATGGCGACTGTCTCCTAGACAGCGGTTTGCTGCTACTGTCTATCCATCTCGTGCTGAAATGGCCTGAAAAAGCCAATCCAAGTCCTTGCAGGTTTCTTACTCTGGGAAAAGCGTCGGCTCCCTCTGGGAGTGGTGGTGATTTGCCAGGAATGGTGGCAGGGCATCCTAGGCTGGGCTGGGCTAAGGGTTCTGCTTTGTGCTTTGGACTCGGGTAGCTTCTTCCCGGGGTTTATTTGAAGCCCACTGTGCCGCTTGGTACCTTTCCCCAGCCGTCCCTTAGAATCTCTTCGTTCAGGCAAAATACAGCCCAAAACGGTCGTCTTTCCGAGATCCCACGTCAGACGGGGCCATTGTGGTCATCTAGTCTGACCTCCTGCATGACCCAGGCCAGAGACCTTCCCTCCCCGCCCCCCAGTGTTACGTAACACGCTGGTGCCCATACACTGTGACCCAATCTTAATTCCAGCCCACTCCTCACCAAACTAGAGCATGAGGCCGTGCTCTTGACCTGCCAAGCACGTCCGGGGTTGTGGGATCAACTTCTGTCTGTCCGATGGACCGCACCTATCTCAGTATGATGACTCCTAATGCCTGGGCACCAGATTGGTGCGCAGAAAGGGTTCCCTGAACAGACTGCTGTAATGTACCCTGTTACACCAGAGTGCAGGATTCCCCAGGCTGGAGCCTTGGCTAATGCCTGATGTCAGAGGCAGGCAGAAAAACCCACAATGCACCTTCCTGCCCAGAAGCAGCGTCTCCGCCTGCCAAGCTCTGATGCTCTTGATGTAATTGCTGTTCCCCCTCTCTGGCTGCAGGTGAATGTCTTTGGATTCGGGGCAGACAGCCGGGGCAACTGGCACCATTACTGGGAGAACAATCGCTATGCAGGGGAGTTCCGGAAGACCGGGGTGCATGATGCGGACTTTGAGGCGCACATAATTGACATGCTGGCGAAAACCAGCAAGATCCAAGTTTACCGCGGCAACTGACGCTCTGGGCTCTGTCCTCTAGCTTTCATTTCAGAATCAGGTTTCAAGAGACGGATCGCTGTCGCTGGCCTTGCTGTGACAGATCCCCGACCAATCACAATGAGCTACAGGGTTCGGTCTGTGACCCCACCTGACCAGTGGCCAAGTGGGGGTACTTGGTTCTGCCGGCCAATCATGTTTAGAGAGAAAAGGAAACTTCTTTTTGTTTAAAAGTTTCGGATGAAAAGGATTTACAAGGAAAACCGGCCCCTGGTTATGTTGGAGGCTTCCAGCCCGGTTCGCCTCATGGTCAAACCAAATGCTGCTCTTTTTTTAAAACCAATCATAACTTCAGAACAAAGCCCAACCAATCGTGGCCACAGGCCGAAGGCAAAGCTGCATGTTTCGACCAATCTCCCAGTGGAATGACACTAGCCTGTGAGCTTCAGCCCTGGCTGACCCTATGGAGTGGGGTGGTCTTTACACGAGCCGCCCCATTCTGAGCCCAGCCGGAAGAAGCTTGGAAACACCCGGGTGAACGTCTCCTTTTTTAACGTTCTTGGAGCCTGGCAATCGCTCTCCCAGAGGAGGCTCCAGTGTCTCTTTATTTTGTACAATCTGGTTCAAAATGCTGACCAGACAATCAGTTCCTTTCGGGTGTGGGCACAATCGGTGACTGGGAACGTTCCAGCTTGGCAGAGGGAGGGGATGGGGGAGTAGAGGAAGAGGTGTGGGGTGGTTCTTGGCTTTTTGACAGCCAGCTGGGTCCAACCCATTAGGAATGGAGCCTGCCAAGAAGAGTTCTTGCTGAGCAGAGGATTTTAAAGCCATTGGAAACATCAAGAGGGAGAAGCAGCATCTGGGTGCTTCTGATGTAGGGTCTTGGCAGACTGGAAGCTTCTGAGACTGACCAGTGGTTAACGCTGGTTGGGAGCTAGTCTCAATAAGTGGGAGGAACGGAGAGGAGGGGGAACCTCCATTTAAAGCCTGGTGTCTGCCCTTTTACTCCCGTGAGAAGGGGCTGTGTCTTGCTCTAGGACTGACTGATAGGACCGAATGAAGAGAAGCCATGCCAAAGGCAGCTAAGAAGTCTGCAGAACCTGTGGCTTAGACCCCTTCCCCATCTCCATCCCAATCCCACCTGGGTTTGGAGAGGGAAGGGGGAATTCTCTAGTCTAGTCTAGAACCACAATCTACCTCCCCACCCCAGTCCCTCCCCCGCAAATGTTGCCTCCATTATCTCTTCCACCAGAGCGTGTTCTTGCAACAAGCTGTCCTTGTAAGAGTCTTGGCTTCTTGCAAAGGCAAGTTCTGATGACTGGGAAGTGGTGGCCCGCGGCTGGGTAAGGTCCTGCTTTTCCAGGTTCATTGTAAATTTCCCCGCTCATCCTCACCTCGGAATTGAGCTGCGGTAGCAACTAGCCATTTAGCTGGAAGTTGCCAGGCTTTGGTGAAGGGATTGTCCTAGCCGTTAGACAGCTGATCTCACTGCTGATGTTATGGGCAGAGCCTCTCCTCTCTCTAGTGGGCTGCTTCTCAGCATTCCAGATGCTAATTTTCCCCTGCAAAGAGACAGCTGGGGCAGCTAGTGAGAGTTGGCCTGTGGGCATCAAAGGAAGACTTGAAAGGAGAGAGGTGGGGAGCAGGGAGGATGGATTTGTAGAGAACTTGCCAGGAAGGTACCCGCTGAAAGCTCTCTGAATCAAGGTAGGGGACCGTCCTTGATGGAGATCCCAACCGTGTTTGGCCTGGGGGTGCTTCTGCACACTAGATAAAGGAAAAAAATGGATTTCCTTTCTGCTACTAGATGAAAGAGCAAATTGTAGAACACTTAGAACTTGGGTGAATTAAGTGTGTTTAAAAATGAAAAACTAAATCTAGACAGCCCAAATCCTGAAGCGCTTGCCCAGTTTTTAATCATGAAGGACCTCTAGGATTTGACTCCTCCATGGACTAATTGCCTTTGGGCAGGAGGCTGAGTTAAGGGTAACGGGAAAGGCTTCTCTGAAATCTTATAACCACTGGAAGGAGTATCTCATTTCCGCTGACTTTCACAGACTCCCTTTTGCAAGCTGAGACCTCTCTGCCACCCTTAACTCTTCTCACCCAATAGGGATGTCCTGCCCTTCCTGTGCATTCATTTTAGCTTGGCTTGGACCATGCCACTGGATTGGAACCCAACCTAAGCCAGTCCCTGCTTTGCACTGGGAACTATCATCTCCTCTGCCTTCGTGGGGTTTACACAGTCAAGTGCGAGCTCCTGGCCTAGTGGTAGGATGCAAAGAGAGAGTGAAATAACCTCATCCAACTACAGAGGTTTGTTTGGTGGGATTGGTCCAAACTGGGGTGTGTTCCATTAGGGGGCAAAGCCTGCAGCTATGAAATGCTCTCAGAGGTATTAGTGAAATCGAAGGAGAACAGCTTCTTATTTCTTGCTTGGTGGGGTTTTCAGGTAGGTATTTGATGGACTAAATAAAATGCAATCATGCCAAACAGTATTGAATAGAATAATTTCTTCCGGTTTGTATCCTCGTTGGATTGTGTGGTATTGGGAGACACAGGGCCCAGAGCGGCCAGGTCTCCTTTTTGCAATAGTTATTTAAAGAAATTAGGATGGGGAAAAGGGGTTCTTTTTGTATCTGTGATTTTTCTGTATGGCAATCTCTCCCGTTTTGAGGTTTCTTCTGCAGTTGTGAAATGAATGTCCTGGGGCCTATTACAGCAGCCAGACAGATGGCTCTTGTTTTCAGTCTACAGGGCTCTAAAGAAGTGAGGTGGATGAAGGTCTGAGGCTGTTTTTTTAAACGAAAGGTTCTGCTTGTGATGTCATGCGATCACATGACCTGCTTGCCAAGCAGTCATTTTGGATAATCCAGGCCAAAAGCAGTAACTCCATAGTAGTGACCCTCTGAGGCTTGTAATAGTGTATTGGAAACCAAAAGTCAGCAAGTCCTTGCATGCTGGGGAGCTTGATAGGACAGTGAAACCTGTGTTCTTTCTGCACCGCTCTCTTCTTGGGAACCAGGGGAGGGAGAAGTGGTTTAGTGCAAGCCCACTCTCAGCTATCCCTTCTTTTTTTTTAAGAAATAAAAAACAAACCATGAGCAACAGAGTGCCTTGAATCACATACTGTCTGTCACACTGGACTCCACCCACTGACCCTGCTGTGTCTGGGGTTCACCAACCATGCCAGGATGTCCATGTCCTCTGCTTTCAGTGGCAGGCTTGGCTGCTTCCTTCATTGTTTCCCTGCCGCCATGTTAAAAACCAATCGGAGCGAGGTGCTGGGGTTAGCTGAAAAACGCCACTCCTGGGGAGAGCAGAGAGGCTGCCAGACGCCACCTTTTCTGGAGCTGCTGCTGCTCTTGGTGCTGGCTGGTGCAACGGGATGGGAGAAGCACCTGGTTAAAAATCCAGTTGCTGTCTTTGGAAGGGCTGGTCTCCCTCCTGGCTGATGGGCAGAGGCGGGACTGGCTTGACAGTCAAGGAGTGACAGGAGCCACCCCACCAACCATGTGGTCTCGAATCCAAGAGCCAGTCTGGCGGCTTGGTCTCCTGCAAAGCGCACACTGCCCAGCCGGAGGAGGAGGAGTGATTCCATTTTTCCGTGAGTTCACCCGGCTACAAGGACTTGCTAACACTTCTTTCCTTAGCAGCCTGGCCAACAAACACCTGCATGAGCATGCTGCAACCCACCCCCGCGGAAATGGGAATGTGGGGTGCGTTGTCTACAAATACCACTGTACTGTACATAGAGGAAACTACACAGAGGCTATGGGCAAGGGGCACTGGTGCCTTCCCAGCATGGAGCAGAGACGAGCGGAACCAGCTTGGACTCAGCTGAGACTGCCCCAGTTTATCTCCATCACCATCAAAACAGTTCAGAAATCGCTCTGCACTCAGAGTCGGGGCAGTCCTGACGTGCGGGGAGCTGCAGAGAGCAAGTTTGTCAATTCATGGCTGGTCCAGGATGGTTCAGTCCTGAGGAACTTTGAAAGACAACCCAAGGGCCCAATTCTGCATGGATTCCTTCTGCACATGTGCAGGTTCATGCAACTGCATAGCTCCATTCGAGTCAGTGGAGCTATTCACGTGCATCTCTGGTGGACTGGGGCCCCAAATGCTCCCACCAACTGGAGAAATGGAGGGTTCCTCTGTGGTGCACCTATGGGTCCTGTGGTATCCTACTGAATTTACAGTCCTCTTCCGGATGCCTGGCACTGCCAGGCTCTCTGTAAAGGTGACTCATGGTCCAGCCCTGTCTTCGCCCACCCTTCCTATAAACCAGTCCGAAGAGCAGCTTGCCAGCCTTCCCCATAGCCTCTGTGTACTTTGCTACTTCGACACACGACTGTCTTAAAACTATTTTTTTGTTAATAAAAGGATTAATCTGAAGCGTTCTGTTCCTCTCCTTCTGTTGTAAGCAGCCTGCTCTCCCCTGCCCTTTGGTTTCAGTATTATGCGCACTTTTACTGTATCGGAGGGGTTGGTTTTCTTTCATGTGCCACAGTTGGAAAAATGGGGTTTATTTTATGTTGTACAAAATAAAATCTGTATCTGTTCCTTCTCCTGGTGTGTGTGTGTACCTTAGGCCTCTGGTGTTGTATGGTATTTCAGCTGGAGATGAGCAGTAGCTGGAAGTCACTACAGTCTAATGAGGAAAGATGGTCAGATTGGCCAAAGCTCTGATTTCACGCTAGCCTCCTCTGGTCCATCTGCTGGGTAGGGCCTGAGAACCCCGCTTTACCATACGCCATGCAAAGCATTACATACGTTCATTGCTACCCAGTATAGAGTGTCGCAAGTTCTTGTTGCACTCACTTAAACCATCCTGTCATAACAGCGGCTAGGTCGGCCATTCCAATTCTTGTAATAAACGTACGCTACTTCAACAATACAGAGTATGAGGAAATACATCTAGGGCTCTGTTCTAATCTATTTTGGGGTTAGATTCCTTTTGAAATGGTTACTGCACATTTAATGAATAACATACATTAACAGTTTTCATTCAATAATCTGGTTTCTTTTTATAAGGCCACGTGTGCTGATAACGTTGTCCATAACACAAACGCTATTCAGACTGGAAATAATTTTCCATAGGACCCAGGGAATTATTCCTGGCCAAATTCTAATTTCTGTCTTGCAAAACTTCTGCATTTTCAGGCTTTGTCTGTTCTAGGAAATGTTAGCAAAAAATTCCCAGGTCTAGCTGTACAGAAATTTGATTTCTCTGCATTGGTTGGGGATTGAACCCTGGCCTCAGGGTAGGAGCTACTAATGCTCTAATACTCATAACAACTGGAGAAACACAGGGACCATCTGACTCTGCAATTATCCCCATGTCCAAGATCCTTTTGATCTCCTTAGGAGTTTGCTCCTACACTTTCCCAGTCGAGCGATGGGCTGAGTGCAGGTTGCGATCCCGCAGGATCCAGCTTTGGACCATTTCATGAGGCAAATCCTGGCCTGCTGGAAAATACCTGCCGGTCCCTTCCCAGCACCGCCAGAACATCTGCTTGTCAGTGAGGGTTAACTCTTCACATCCCTCCGTGCTCCATGGGGAAGTGTCACCGTGGCATTCAGCTCCCAAGGCAAGGGGCTGTGAGAATCCTGCCCTGCACAGCACGTCACGGTTACAAAGGCTTCTTGGCTGTGATATGTTCTGAACCTATTTCTATCACAGTCTGAGGTGCAGCCCTGGTGCAGGGCCTTTGTACGCTGAGGTAAGGTCATGAACCCTTCCTCCCACCTCCACGGGCCCTTCCCTGCGTTCTGCATTGTGAACTCTAGGGACTCACCCCCGTCAAATCCCCACTCCCAAGGGTTGGGATCAGACCGTGCTTTTGGAGCTGCTTGGCTTTTGGGGAGGTTTTGCTTCACTATCCCCACCACAGGTTGTGAATCCTCCCAGCCCTTTGCACATATTCAGCCACCAGCTTCCCCTCTGCCTCAGAGCCACGCTCCCAGGAGTTTCTGTGATCAAGAGGACCTCTGATGTCTCTCCTATACAGCAGATGAAATGGGGAAAAACTTGTGGACTCTTGGGGTACCTCTGTGATGGGTTCTCCCTGGGGTGCAACCTGGAACTGGGGTACCGCTGAGCCCTCTGGCTTACCAACCCGAGCGCCCTCTCACACTGTGATGCTGTGAGAAGCTGCAAACCCCTCCAGATCCTGCCCTCACACAGCCAGCTGAGTTACATGAATGCTTCTCCTAGCCACTCACGAACTAACAAGAGAGAGGCTCCAGCCAATTCCTCCAGCTCCCCAGCGTTGCACCCCAGAGCTGTCCCGTCTTGCCCTGGTGAGAAGCCTGACCAGTGAAAGCTTATTACCTAGTCTGCCCCTGCCTCAGTGTGAGAGGACGTGCACCAGCTTTTGTACACGGAGCAGATTTCCCAAGCACCTCAACCAACACACCCTCTTTAAGGTAAAATATGAAACAGTTTAAGTGATGACGAGTGATAAGCGCCCAGATCAAAGTTGGTTACCTAATAAATAAAAGTAAGATTGCAATCTGCGTTTTCGAAACGAGCCAGGATTTAAATCAAGCACTGGCTCACCCGGTTCGATAATACAAGCAGGTCACAGCTCTTCCATACACAGTCTGGACGTCTCTTCAGCCTGGGCCCACCTCCCCAGTTCAGGCTTTGTCCTCCAGACGTGTTTCCAGGGGTTGAGTCGTGGGGAAAGAGGCCAAATGATGATGTCACTTTCCACCAAGCTGGAAGAAAGTATAAAAGAGGGGAAGACCTTTTGCTGTAATTAGGCCCTACCACAGGCCTGCACAACATGCGGCCCGCGGGGGCTCACTGTGCAGCCCGCAAGCAAGTGGCGGGGGGAGCTGCCGGCTTCACCCCCTGCCCGGGGGCTGAGCCAACCTCACAGCCCCGCCTGCGCGTATCGCGCTCCGGCCGCTGAGAAGCGCGGCTGCCAGGTTTGCCCCCTGCCGGGGGGAGGAGAGGGGGCCGACCTCACAGCCCCGCACTGCGCACCACGCTCCAACCAGCTGGCTGGCGAGAAGCGCAGCTGCCGGGGGAGGGGGAGAGGGAGACGGAGGCCGACCTCACAGTCCCGCGCGTGCTCGCAGCGGTCTAGCCGGCCGGTCAGAAGCGCGGCTGTCAGGTTCGCCCCCTGCCGGGGGGTTAGGGGGGAAGAGCAGCAACCTCACAGCCCTGGCCGGTGAGAAGCGCGGCTGCCGGCTTTGTCCCCTGCCTGGGGGGGGGGGGCAATCTCACAGCCCCGCATGCGCGTGCCGCCCTCCGACCGCCCGGACGGTCAGAAGCGCGGCTGCTGGGGGCCCCCGCGCACTGTGCTCCAACCGCCTGAATGGCCAGAAGCGCACACACGCGTGCACGTGTCTCCATCTCCCGCTCCCCCCGCCTGGCGTACAGCGGGTGCGTCATTTCCGGGGCCTGCTGAGGCGGGAAGCACTGGGCACGCGGCAGAGCCAGTAAGTGCGAGCAAGGGGAGGGGCACCCGGCCTGGGCTCGAGCCGTAGCTGGGGGGGACTGGGCAGAGACCCCCCCCCAAAATCCCCTCTTTGGTTGGGGGTGGGGTGGCTACTGCGCTGGTTGCTCCCAGGGTGGCCTCCGTAGTGATGAGGTGGGGTTTGAACTGTCTGTGGGCAGCCGGAAAAACCGGGAGGGGGGGGGAGAGAGAGAGAGTGTGTGTGTGCGCGCGCGCAGGGTCGACTTTAGGCCGATTCAACTGAGTTCCCTGAATCAGGCCCCAAGCCCCGGTACAGTTTACCGGGGTGGCCCGACTTCCCCAGGGGGCTATTTAAAGGGCCTGGGGCTCCAGCTGCCTCTACTGCACTCCCTGCCCACACCACCCCGCACCTCCTGCCCTGCCCGCAGCCAGCCCCTGTCTCCACCCCCTGCCCTGCTTCTAGCCTCGCACCCCCTGCCCTGCTCGCAGCCACCCCCTGCCCTGTCTCCAGCCAACCCCTGCCGCACCCCCCTGCGGCCCTGCCTGAAGCCAGCCAGCCCCACACATACCCCTGCCCGCTCCAGCCCCGCACCCCTTGCCCTGTCTCCAGCAAACCCCTGCCACGCACCCCTGTCTGAAGCCAGCCAGTCCCGCACTCCTCTGTCTCCAAGCCCAGCCAACCCCTGCCGCATCCACCTGTGGCCCTGCCTGAAGCCAGCCAGCCCGCCCCACACCCCCCTGTCTCCAGCCAGACTCGCACCCCTTGCCCTGCCTGCAGCCAGACCCTACCTCCAGCCAGCCCCTGCCTTGCTTCCAGCCAGCCCCATGTCCACTGGTGCCCTGCAATTCCCAGGGCAGGAACCCTGCACACCTGCTTCAATGAGGGGAGCAGGGAGCAGCTGGGACCCACACATGTGCACACCCTAGGGTGACCAGACAGCAAGTGTGAAAAACCAGAACAGGAGTGGGGGGTAATAGGAGCCTATATAAGAAAAAGACCCAAAAATTGGGACTGTCCCTATAAAATCAGGACATCTGGTCACCCTAGGGCACCCCCAGGGAGTGGCGGGGACCCACACATGTGAAATGGAGCTCATTAATAACTGATCAACAGCATATATAACACAATGTACATAATATATAATTTTATTATTTATGTAGTTATGGAAAGTAAATAATACATGGAAGAAATGAAAGGCTTTTTTTTTACATGTTTTTTTTTCTTCTAGTCATCCCTGCTGGGCCCTGCCAAAAATGTTCGAATTGGGCCCTGCACTTCCTAAAGCTGGCCCTGTGTGTGTGCTTTGCACCTGCCCTGCCCTGACTGCTGCCCCCTTCCCTGGTCCAGGGACCTTATCCCTCCCCAGCCCCTATCACACTGCCCCCACCCACAGGGCTCCCTGCGGCCCCTGTGTTTGTGTGTGGGACAGTCACATTCAATCCCTTCACACTGCTCCCCTTCCCCCTCCCCGGCTTAGTTCATACCCCCAGAAAATCCCTTCAAACTGTCCCCCTTTTCCCCTCCCCTTATTTCATGGGGGGATGACGAACCGAGGGGGTGGGTGGGCAGGTAGTGGTGGCGAGGCTTTATACTTGGGAGGAAGGTGAGGAGGCGAGCGGCAAGTCGGTGGCTGGAAGGAAAATACCATTTTCAGTATTTTAAATTTTGGTACTGCTGTGTGCAGTAATATAAGGGGGTCAAAGAGGGGTGTAATGGTGGGGCCGAGCAGGGAGGGGGCGGGTCCTATTTTACTGCTGTGATCTGGTTACCCTATGCGCACCGTTTCTTTCCCCCTCTACAGGCTTCCACACAGTCAGTGCCTTGCTAGTGTGCCACGCGCTGTGAGATATCTCTTCTCTTTGTGTGTGACTGAGCATTTCCCTTGTGTGTGAATTTATTCAACAAAATCTTGAGCTTCATAATGGCTACCATGAGTGAAAAGAAAAAGAGAAAAATAGAATCAGAGCACAGAGTTTTCAACACTGAATGGACAAATAAATACTTATGTACTGTTTCCAAAGACAAAATACTGTGCCTTGTGTGTCGCGAAACGTTAACCGTTCCGAAAGAATACATCCTTCGGCGGCACTTTGAAACTAAACATCCCAATCTTGCCAAATTGAACCCAAATGAAAAAATAATTAAAGCAGCCAGTTTAGTGAAAAACCTTAGTGGCAAATTTTCAAGAAAGTGAGCACTGAGAACGATATAGTTACTAAAGTAAGCTTTCAAATTTCTAAGGAAATTGCTGCTGCTGGGAAATGCTTCACAGAAGGCGAGTTTTTAAAAAAGTGTAGGTTGATTGCTGTATCTGAGTTATGTCCAGAAAAGAGGGGAATATTTGAGAATGTCAGTCTATCACGCATGACTATACAGAGAAGAATAGCTGACATTTCTACTAATCTAAGTGATCAGTTAAAGCAGAGAGTCAGTGAATTCTGCTTTTACTCCCTAGCTATCCCACCGATTTAAAAGACACCGCCCAACTTTGAAATTACTGAAGAACTTGTTGGCATGTGCTCCATGACGGGTTGCACAACTGGAAAGGAAATCTCCAGTGAAGTGATAAAGTGCATGAATGATAAGTTGGGAGTAGATTTCACAAACTTGGTGGCCATTTGTACTGATGGTGCTCCAGCTATGTGTGGAAAAAATGTTGGAGCAGTTACTCTTCTTGAAGAATTTATCGGGAGACAAATAACCAAACATCACTGCATTATACATCAACAGGTTTTGTGTAGCAAAGTCTTAAAATTTGAGCATGTAATGTCAGTGGTAGTTTCCATTGTAAACCTCATCCGTTCTAGAGGACTAAAACATAGGACATTTCGAGCCTTTCTTGAAGGGGAAGATGCCGAGTGCAGCGACTTAATCTACCATACAGAAGTGAGGTGGTTGAGTCAAGGAAGAGTGCTCCAGCATTTCGTTGCTTTGAAAGAGGAGATAGCAAAATTCCTAGAAAATGGGCCAATAAAATTCCCGGAGCTTGAAAATGAGTCCTGGAATCAAGATCTCTTTTTCTTTTGTGACATTACAGCACACCTGAATGATCTCAACATTCAACTTCAGGGAAAAAATCAACTTATATTTCAAATGTGTGCAGCAGTGAAAGCTTTCAAAATTAAATTGAAACTTTTCAGAAGTCCGCTGTCAAAAGGTGAAATGTGTCACTTTCCCACTTGTGCACAGCGTATCCCTCAGCACAAACACGCCGAGTTAGGAGAAAAATACGCAAAGCACATCATTCTTTTGATTGAAGAATTTGACAGAAGACTTACTTTGTCTAAAGATGATGACATCCAGTTGAAGCTGATTGAAGATCCCTTTTCTGTGGATCCAGAGGAAGTGCCACAAGATTTGCAGTTGGAGGTTATTGAACTTCAATGTTCGGCAGTTTACCGAAATAAGCACAGAGAGAGCAGCTTGTGGGACTTCTACAAAAGTCTGGACGATGAAAAATACAAGAATCTTATTGAAGTTGCACTGAAAACGTTCAGCATTTTTGGAAGCACTTACATATGTGAACAAACATTTTCCATCATGAACATAAATAAAAACAAGCCACGTTCTTCTCTGCCTGACGACCATTTGGAAGACATTATGAAAATATCCACTTCAAATATGACCCCCGAATACGACAAGCTTGTTGCCGAAAAGAGATGTAATATCTCTCATTAAATTTGCAAGATAATTATGAAAAGTACAAATGTTTTCTTTCAATGGAACAGGTGTTTTTCATTTTTCCATGATTCATAAAAAAAATTAAAATAATTAAAAAAATTGTTTGCTTTAATTGAAAAATTCTTAATAAAGTATCACCCTCCCCCCCAAAAAAACCTTCCTTTTTGTCCCACAGCTGTTTCGGCGGAGCGGTGCTGGGGAAGGAGGGTTTGTTTCCGCAGTGCGGGCGGCGCTGGGGAAGGAGGGTTTGTTTCCGCGGGGCGGGCGGCGCTGGGGTGGGGGATGTGTTTCGGGGGGTGTAGCAGGGTGGTTACCCCGCTCCTGCCCTGAAGGGCTTAAACAGCCCTGGGGGAGGGCTGTGGCAGGGGAAAAGCTGAGCTGATTGGGGAAGCCGCTGCAGCTGGGCCATGCCCCAATCCGGCCCTGGCTGGCCTGTATAAAAAGGCTGTGAGCCAGAGGCCCAGAGGAAGTCTCTCTCTGCTTGTAGAGAGAGAAGGGCCTTGCTGCTAGGGAGTTGAGCAGGGTACTGGGAGTGGAGCAGGGCTGGGGAAGGCTAGAGGAGCTGGGGAGCTCCAGCCTGGAAAACCCCCAAGCTGCGGACCTAGCTAAGGGCCTAAGACCAGTACCAGGGCTGCAGAGGGGCAGCCCAGCTATAGAGGGAGGCAGCAGGTCCAAACCCAACCTTGCCTGTGATGATATACTGCAGTCTGCCCCAGGGCGCGGGGGCTAGTTAGTGACTGGCAGTAGCCTTATACTGAAGTGAGGTGGGGATTAGAGGATTGGGGGGTCCCCAGAGAGAGGAGACCAAGATCCAGAGTGTGGGGGTATTGCCAGGGGGCAGCACCCCAGATCAAAGGGCACCGGGGTCCAGGAGGGACACAGAGACAGCGGCAGTGGGACACCGGCCTGCAGAGGTCGCACCAACGGCTGGATGAGCTAATTCCCAAGAAGACCAGCAGGAGGCGCCACCGGGGTGAATCCTGCTTGCTTACACGGGAGCTGGGCGGTGCTGTGGGAGGGATGGGGTTCGGCGAGGCTGGGTGGCGCTGGGGGGGGGCGGGGGCGTGTTTCAGCACGGCCGGGGGTTTCGGCCCTCAGCTATTTTCTTTAGAGTAATATGGCCCTTGCCGCTTTACAAGTTATGCAGGCCTGGCCTACCACATTCACAGTCCATTTTGTGGAATTTGACAGTCATAGGATTTTTAAAATCATAAATTTAATGATATCAGAAATTTCACAGTGTTGTAACTGTAGGGGTCCTGACCCAAAAGCGAGTTGGCCTGGGCGGGAGGGGGAGTCACAAGGTTATTGTAGGGGGATCGCAGTATTTCCACCCTTACTTCACTTCTGCGCTGCTGCTGCTGGTGGCGCTGCCTTCAGAGCTGGGCAGCTGGAAAGTGGTGGCTGCTGGCTGGAAGCCCAGCTCTGAAGCTAGGGCCACGTCCAGCAGGAGCGCAGAAGTAAGGATGGTATTGCCACCCTTTCGTCTGCGCTGCTGCTGGAGGGGCACTGCCCTCAGAGCTGGGTGCCTGGCCAGCAGCTGCTACTCTCCAGTCATCCAACTCTGTAGGCCTCGCAGAAGGGTGGCAACACCATGACCCCCCTACAATAACCTTGTGACCCTCATTTGGGTTGGGACCCCCAGTTTGAGAAATGTTGGTCTCCCCTGTGAAATCTGTATAGTGTAGGGGAAAAGTACACAAAAGGCCAGATTTCATGGGGGAAACCAGATTTCACTGTCTGAGACACGTTTTTCACAGCCATGAATTTGGTAGGGCCTTGGCTATGACGTGAGTTAAGCAGTCTCCATTGTCTACGTGCTCTCTCTGAGACATCTCCATTGTATATAATTCCTGGGGCAGCCCTTGTGAGTGTGGATTCCCTTAATGGGCCACCGTCAGTGTCTAGCTGCTCCTTTGTGCACCGGAAAAGCTGGTTGTGGGTGTTCCCAACTGCACAACATATTCCAGTAACACACACATAGCAAAACTTCATAACTTCCCATACAGTGATAGCACATACAATCTAACAGGACATTAATATTCAACAGATCAAGCCTTTTAAAATGATGCCTCACAAGGCATACTTTGTACATACACAACATAGCATAATTATATGACGGGTGAATATGGGGGTTCCAGGATGCTGGTTTCAGGCACAAAGTGCCACAACCTCCCAGTAAGCAAATAACAGATAGGGGAACATTGTGTCCCTGACATTTGCCCTCCTGGTTGCATACATTCCCTGTGAAAGCAGCAAAGTTCTTGCTGAACTCACTTGACTGGTTGCAGAAGCCTCATCTACCATCTGCCAGATTTCTCTGCTGGCCAGATTCTCTACTGATTCTACATCCATATTTTCATGGTCAACATGTTCATTCACTTCTGACAGTATCTGACAATTAATATTCATAAATTTTAAATGTTCTAAAATTATATCAATATTTCTTTTTAAAAATCCTTTCAGACAGGGTGCAATTATCACGGTAGCTACATGGGCTGAGACATTTCTTTTCACAGCAATATTCAACATTTGAAAGAGTTATTGATCTGGCAGGTATAGAAGTACAGCCCCACTTCTACAAGCTGCCTGGCAAAGGTAGACGCCTGCAGCTGCACAGAGTTCAGGAGGGCCGTAGGACTGGAGCATAAGATGGTAATTCTTCAAAGTTAATAATGAGAAACACCCAACTGCAACAACAACAACAAAAATTATCTCCCACCCGTATCAAGCTCATATTTGAAGATAAATAAGCAAAAAAGGATTTTGCCTAGAGCTACCCCAGGGTGAATGTGCCAGGAGTGTGGTGCAGGGGACAAGGTATGCCTTCCCTCCACCCAACTCCAATGGCAGGCTTGAGCTAATCTCTGTCCTTGTGAGCCTATGGGGACTAGGACTGAATGACACTGGTCACCCCATGGATGGCCAGGAGGAGCCATGGCCACACCCACTCCCGGGGCAAGCCAAATGGAGCCCTCACATGCTGTTGGGGTAGCCAGGCGCCCTGTGTCTGTTGGAGAATTCTGACAGCATGTTGTCATTTGTGAGCACTGACACATACTTAGCACCTTCCTTTATCGAAAACAGCTCTAGAAATAAGGACCCAAAAGAGTGACCAGAAAAAAAGAGAGTATTTGTATATAATTTAGCATTCTGTTACAGAAAAATACCACTAGCAACAATACCACAACTTTACTTGCTTATATAGCATCTTTCAACCGGAAGGATCTCTAAATGCTTTACAAACTTTATAAAGAAATCATCACCCACTGAAATGCAGCCACCTCTGGAATGAAAGAGAACATCTGTTTAACAGCACAATATTTTGATGCTATATTTAGGACAGGATATGAAGAATGAGAGTCCAAATAAAACTCCATGGGAGATATTTTGATCAAAAGAATGCAGTTATCCAGGCTGGAACATCAAGACCGACAGCTCTATGCTTATGAAAAGTGTCATGGGCTTGTGAATGAACATAAGCAATTGGGTTCTTATGGTCACAACGAAAGATGGCACCGGCAGTAGCACAATGGCCCATAGTTCCATGCTAGCACCTACTTCAGTGCCTGACTCTAAGGCTAGGTCTACACTACCCGCCTGAATCGGCGGGTAGAAATCGACCTCTCGGGGATCGATTTATTGCGTCCCGTCGGGACGCGACAATCGATCCCCGAATCGACGCTCTTACTCCACCAGCGTAGGTGGGAGTAAGCGCCGTCGACGGGAAGCCGCAGAGGTCGATTTTGCCACCGTCCTCACAGCGGGGTAAGTCGGCTGCGATACGTCAAATTTGCGTATCTTAAATCGACTCCCCCCTGTAGTGTAGATGTAGCCTAAGAAATGAGAACCAGCGACTTAATCACCAATTCCACCCTCCTGGGTTTGCCTTGGAATCCTGCCATCGAAGTCCCAACCAACCCTACCCTGTTTATCTCGAGAGCTAACCAACCAGAATAAAATGTTGTATACAATTCCCCCCCCCCTTGAAACATGATATGACATGAACTGAATATGTATATTCAGGCATTAAGTTAAAATGAAGACTTTAGAAATAAGAAATTAAAACAATAATTTAGCAATAGCACGTATAACTCAGGACATGCAAGAGTTACTAGAGGTTATTCCTACAATGTTAGATAAAATTCACCTAATGAAAAAACCACCCCAGACTCTTTTCCAATGCTTACTAAAAGTGTACTTGAAATATATTTATATATTACATTGATGAATAGCTAAATTTTATCTGCTCTGGAATAATTTAATAACATCTTTGTAACCAAAAAACCTATTCCACTGGAGCTCTTTATTTCAAAATGATCCTTATGCTAAGCCCATCAACTCTAAAATACAGTTGTTTTCTTTACTAAAAACTACAAATAAACAGACAGCTGTGGTGAGGTAGACAACCATTACAAAGTTCACTTCGAAAATCAATATAGCGTTTTAGTTGGAATGTGCTTATTAAACACCCACCGCTCTCATGCAAATTATGATGGACTGAATAAAGCAAATACATATGCTTCTTTCTTTTTATGAAATGTAAAATCTGCTGTTAATTGCTTCTGCTATGTCCTATAACCTTTTCTCCTTAACTATTAAACGGAAGCTTTTCCAAAAGTTATTAGAGAGCCTCTTTCTTTGACTTGTATAACTTTCAATATTTATTCAGTAAAGGTTCACAGCCGTTAAATTACATTAACAAATATTAGCTACTATGTAAGCCAACTAAGTAAAATACTTATGTTGCAGGTAAAACAAATCATTGGGTGTTTACAAGAATATTTGGATATGCCCATTTTGAAACAAGCTTATCAAATATCCTGTAATTCTTAGTCAAATGAGAAAGACTCAAAGTAGATTCTCCCCCCCACCCAAATACTCAAATTTGTTTAGTAAGCTAATTGTTTTCTAATATGGGCGAAAGTAAACATGAAGGAGATGAACCGTACCAAGTATGAGTTTACTGAGTCAAAGTAGTGTACATAGTTTCTTAGTTAAACCTGATTCTGTTTGCAAACCTGTCTTCCACACTTTTTAAACTACCTTTAAAATACAGTAGTAGCAAGAGAGCGTGTTGGAAATCATTCTAGTTTAAAC